GGTGGCAGGCACCGAGCTGGCCGGCGGCAATGTCAGCGCTAACCAGAGCGCTACCGATCCCACGCTGTCGAGGGACGTGTGGATGGTGGGCATGGGGATCCTCATGTCGCTGATTGTGCTGGCCATCGTCTTCGGCAATGTGCTGGTGATCACGGCCATCGCCCGCTTCCAGCGCCTGCAGACTGTGACCAACTACTTCATCACCTCGCTGGCCTGTGCTGACCTGGTGATGGGGCTGGCTGTGGTGCCCTTCGGCGCTTGCCACATCATCATGGAGATGTGGAAGTTTGGGAACTTCTGGTGTGAGTTCTGGACCTCCTTGGATGTACTCTGTGTCACAGCTAGCATTGAAACCCTCTGCGTCATTGCTGTGGACCGGTACTTTGCCATTACCTCTCCTTTCAAGTACCAGAGCCTGCTGACCAAGAGCAAGGCACGTGTGGTGATCCTTGTGGTGTGGGTGGTCTCAGCCCTCACCTCCTTCTTGCCCATCCAAATGCACTGGTACCGGGCAGAGCGTGACGAGGCCATCCTCTGCTACAAGGAGGAAACATGTTGCGACTTCTTCACCAATCAAGCTTATGCAATTGCCTCCTCCATCATCTCCTTCTACCTGCCACTTGTGGTCATGGTATTTGTGTATGCCAGGGTCTTCCAGGTGGCCAAGAAACAGTTGCAGAAGATAGATAGGAGTGAGGGGAGGTTTCACGCCCATAACAAGGAGCAGGAGCACAAAGGGGGAGCTGGGCACCGCCGTTCCTCCAAGTTCTTCTTGAAGGAGCACAAGGCCCTCAAGACCCTGGGCATCATCATGGGCACCTTCACACTGTGCTGGCTGCCCTTCTTCATTGTTAACATTGTGCACGTTATCCAGGACGACATCATACCCAAGTACGTGTACATCCTCTTGAACTGGCTGGGCTATGTCAACTCTGCCTTCAACCCTTTGATTTACTGCCGGAGCCCTGACTTCAGGTATGCCTTCCAGGAGCTCCTGTGCCTCCGCAGGTCTGCTCTGAAGATGTATGCCAATGGCTACTCAAACAGTAACGGCAAGAGTGACTACAACGAGGACAATGGCTACCCCTTGACATCGGATAAAACCTGCGAATTGCTCTGCGAAGAGGGCTCCTTCTCTCACCCCGAGGACTTTTTGCACGGCAAAGGTACTGTGCCTAGTGGGTAGCTGTGAGGCATGACAGGCTCTGGCGTGGCACACGTCGGTTATAAAGAGGAGCCTTTCTCTCTATCTAAGGAAATACAAAACCCTCAATAATAATATTAATCCATTTTTAAAGCCTAAAATCTAGTGGCTGCAAGAAACCCAAAACTCAGCAGACCTTCTGCAAACACGTGGGGGGTTGCCCGCGGCAGGGGCGGGCGGGCTGCTTGCTTTTTACCCGTTTAGGGGCACGACCGTGGGTCCCTTGAGCGGGGGGAATTTTAAGGCTATGCAGAAACCTCGTCCCTGGCGGAGCTTGCTGGCCGCGGCCGGTGTTGAACTACCTCATGTCTTCCCTGCTCGCAGCCGGGAGCGCCGTGCGGG